AGCCTTACATTCAATGGTTTGGTTTTGATTGAGAGAGCACTGGGAGGCCGGAGAGAGAGAGAGAGAGAGAGAGAGAGAGAGAGAGAGTCTGTTAGGGAAGCATGAAATTGATGGATAAATAACAAGATTTGTGGATATTTTTCGATGATTTGCTATATTATGGCAACAGTTTGTATAGAAATAAATACTTTCGATTCAATCATATGTTTGAATGCAATGAAAAGCCAATAATATATAAGAAATATGATGTGATATCATATCAAATGTAATCATATATTAAGGAGACTATGGATTGCAATCACAGCGATAACTGTCGGGCGCCGACACTCCATACCCAACAATATGTCATNATATACGACCCAATTATTAAGTGATGGGAAGCGTTGGAACGCAGCCCTCAAGTGGACATTCATAGCCACCAAAGACTTTGACGGCAAACAACTGACGTGTCGTTCAGAAAACGCGGCACTAAAACAGCCTAAATATACAGACATTAAGGTTGAGGTGAAATACGCGCCCGAAGTGCACATCAGAGCCGACACTATTCAACAACAGATCGGCGAAGACATTGTCCTCTACTGTGAGGCGAACGGAAACCCCAATCAAGTGGTGTATAAGTGGTTCCGAAACGAAGAACAGGTGACCGGAGATCACGGCTCGCGTCTAGTCCTCAATAAAGTCACTAAAGATATGAACGGAATTGTCATGAGTTGTGAGGCGTCTAACAGTGTGGGCACCGGTCGGGGAAAGTGGACACTCGATGTGGTGTACGGACCGTACTTTAGGACACCTTTGGACCCATTCATCGGCGCAGAGACGGCACAGGACTTGACCCTCAAGTGTGATGTCGACGGCAATCCTCGACCCAACATAACATGGCTTATGGTTGGCAGCAGTCATGTGGTCAGCACTGGACCCGAACTCATGATCCGAGACATGAGTGCCGACAGAGAGGGCCGGTATATGTGTCGCGCGTCTGTCAAAGGATTCCCAGAGATTTCTGCACAAAGTCTCGTCTTTATTAAAGGTATGAAAACTACTATTCATTACTATTTATATTACAATTTCACAACATTTTTATAGAGTAACTGAAATCTCAAGTGTTTTATCACAAATAAATAGAAACTAAAACTGAATTCACAGACAAAATGATTATTTGATTTCATAAATCAAATTTTGTCGAGAATTCTAATACAAACTGAATCTCATAACAAACAAAACAAAACTAAAACAAAATTCATTCAGTTTTTGTAATTTTCCCACAAAACACATAATCGATAGGATTTATAAGTGAATGAGAAATACAATCATTTTATGATTTTATTGTGATATTAAAGTGACTAAAACTCCATAGAAATGATGACAACAATCAAAACCTAAACGCAATTGTATTGTAAAACAAGTAATAAAATGTATTTAAACCCGACTACAGGTCCGCCGCGTATAAGACGTCCATACGTTCAGTACGGTATGGATGGACAGGCAGTTAACGTGGAATGCATTATAGACTCCATTCCGACGCCGACCAAGATTTTATGGTTTCATAATTCACGGGTTTGTATAACATTGCTATCCATCGATACAAATGATAAATACTTACCGTTTTATAACTGCAATAAATTATTTAAACTATTTTTTCCGCTGTTTATTACTCTCCACTTTATATGATGTGATTTATATCTGGCGATCACTAAACGCACAAACAATTTAGTGGTTTTTATAGCTTTTAGTTTATTTGATCGTATATTTTATAAAATTGGATACTTTTATATTAATTTCTAGATTTAAATCGTGTTTCAAAACAAACATTTAATTGTCTTATATTTAATATAATTGTCTAACAGTTTGTGGACATCGATAACAACGATGGATACGAGTTGATTGAAGAGCCCATTTACTCCAATAGTACCCGATATAACTTTAGATCTATGCTTGTTATCAGACGTGCCAAAAAAGTGAGTACATATTTTTACATAGAAAGTTATCTAGTTTAAGTTAGTCATATGTATTGTATATATGTATCTTGAAATTGTGTTACTATTTTTAAATGTATTATATTTTTTATTTCATTTTATATCCAAATTCATGCAAATCTCTCATTTAAATCGATTTTTAGAGTATATTTACAAATGAGTGGATTTGTATGAAAAGTACACATTTAAACAGAATATAAACCAAAGTTTTGAGATTTCTTTTCCGATACTTATCTTTAATGACTCCGATATTTGTTTTATTTTATGTTTTTTGTCGATTTTCTGTGAATTTCTTTTATAAGATTTATGTTTTATAATATAAAATAATATTGAATTTACAAACGAATGAACAAAATGAAAGTATTTGATGAGAACTTTAGTTTTTTCTTTATAAGATTAAATTTAATTAATGTTAGAAATTTATTTAATTACAAGTCTCTAAATATTGAATTTTAAAATACATTTTTACGTTATCTTTATTTAAATATAATTTAATAAAATTGGAAAAATACTTTTGAAACACTATTAGTATAATATTTGCAATTTTTATTATTTACCAAAACTTTTAATTAATTTGTACAGTATTCCCAACTCTTTCAATCATTAATATTATAGTATTTTCGTGTTTATTAGATATTTTTCTAACACTTTGTAACTTTAAATTTGAAATTTTATCTGAAATTTATGCCCAAATTAGCGCTTTTAGTCTCAATTAAATTAGTTATGGATTTATCGATTGTTTCTCTCTCTCTCTCTCTCTCTCCGGCCTCCCAGTGCTCTCTCAATCAAAACCAAACCATTGAATGTAAGGCTTGAGACCAATGAATCTTTTTCTCACTCTTTCACTCAAACACTCGTTTAATGTCTTTATATATAATTTATTTGATTATTAAATCAAATTTTTGCCAAATATTTTCATCACATGTTGTGTGCATTCATTTCTATCGTCTTCTCTCTCAATCAAAACCGATTAACGGACTGACAATCCGTACAATCCGTGCAATCCATGTGCCGGTGCTCTGTCTCTACCACTGGTGTAACCCAAGTGTCAAATATGTTATAACCTCTAAAATGATTGATCAAAATATGTCGACTTCTTCTCAAACATATTTATCTAACATTTCTTAACCAAAACACCACTAATTCCTTACCATTTATTATGTCATATATTCTCTACTATATTATGAAATAT